ATAGGCATACTCAAAAATGTATTTATTATGACACCTCACTAGCTGAACTGAAAGCATTCAAAGATATACTGTACTTAGCACAGATTCCTCGTGGTGATCACAGGAATGCAGAAGACTTATGGAGAAGTGATGGATCAAGATATGGCATAAGCCAAGCATGGTAGCGCTTCCTGTAATCCCAGCACTCAGGAGGCTGAGGCAGGAGGATCTTTGCAAGTTTGAGACCAGCCTGAGCTACAAAGTGAGCTCAAGGCCAGACTGAACTGCATAGTGAGACCCTGTCTCCAAAAAAAAAAAAAAAAAAGACGTGCCATAAAAATTTATGCCCTTGTAGATGCAAAGACTTATTTTGCTTTCAATTTAGATATTTTTTCCTGGAACTCAGGTCCCTTATTCGTATAGTAATAAACTGAATAATGGTTGTGAACAGACTTGTTGCTTCCATCTCCCAAACTAATCGGAATGTGACATTCGACAACTGCTTTACTGGTTTCCAACTGATGTTACATTTGCTAACAGAGCACAAGTTGACCGGCACAGGAGCTGTACACAGGAACAAGCAGAAAGTACAAATAAAATGTTGCAATTTCAAAACTGAGAATTGTATACTACAATCTTTGGATTTTAGAAAGATATAACAAGCTGGGCGTGGTGGCACACACCTGCAATCCCAGCACTTGGGAGGCTGAGGCAGGAGGGTCGTTGTAAGTTCGAGACCAGCCTGGGCTCAAGGGCAGCCTGAACTACATAGCGAGACCCTGTCTCAAAAAAGAACACACGCACCCCCCTGCCGCAAAAAAAGAAAGACATAACATTGGCCTCATATATGGCAAAGAAAAGCAAACTGGCACTGCTGATGTCAACATTTCAGCATGCTGGAAACATTGACAGGGAAACAGCGACAGAAAGGAAGCCTGAGATGGAAACTTTCAACAACAAAACCGAACGAACATGGAGGAGATGTTGATGAGTTACGCAGCAGCTATGATGCCACTTCAACACAAACACTGGCCAATGGTTGTGTTTTACTCAATCCTACACATGTGTGGAATAAAGTTTGCTAGTTTACAAAGAAAATAACAAGTGCAAAATATCACGGAGAAATGTTCTTAGAGGAGTGGGACTGGAGCTCCTTAGAGATCATTTACAGCACAGGAAAAACAAGATGTTTCTGCCCAGGGAACTACACCAAAAACTGAGTACACCGGCGAGCTGGCAGGTGAGCAGGCAGACGCAGCATCACTAAGACCTACTAGGACAACGGGAAAACAATAAAACAGCTGCGCTCTACAGGAAAGCACAGGAAAGCAAAACTTCTGTGCTATCAGTGTAAGCGATACTTGTGTATGGAACATGTTGTTGTCACATGTGAAGACCGCCTTGGGTGTGACAGTTGAAGCAAAGCTTATTTCTGTGGCAGGTTTTTTTCCATTGTAGTTCATGCGGCTTTTTATTTTTGACGTTCTCTTTGAGGTTTTGTAAGCAAGTAAACAGCTGACGTGAAAATGCTCATGTCTGTTCTACGCACTCACTACATGTATGATACTATATTTTATTGACACCTTATTTCCCTGCTAAATGCATGTTGTACAATACAGTAGGAAGCTCCTGACAAAACAGGAAGACAAGAGAGGCGACAAGACTGTCACATAGGAAAGGAAAGCTGAACACATGTGCTGTCAGTGTAAGCGAGACATGTGCATGGAACATGCAGTTGTCATGTGTGAAGAAGACTGCCTCAGGTGCGGTGGTTGAAGCAAAGCTTATTTTGGGGGTGAGTTCTATTGGTTCTATTTTCGTTGTAGTTCACAGAGAAGTTTATTTCTGATGTTATCTTTTAGGTTTTGTAAGGAAGTACACAGCTAATATAAAAATGTTGATGTTGGGGCTGGGGATTTAGCTCAGCGGCAAAAGCGCCTGCCTGGCAAGCGCAAGGTCATGAGTTCGGTTCCTGGTACAGGAGAAAAACCACAAAAGAAAAAAGAAAATAAAAATGTTGATGTCTATTCTAAATGCACAATACATATTAAGAATTTAATACTTTATTTGATATTTTATGTTCCTGTTAACTACACACCATAATATAGTAAGAACCTCCTGACAAAAAGAGTAGGACCACTGAGATGTCAGGTATGTCCTACAAAAAGGCCAGGAAAGCAAAAGACGTGTGCTGTCAGTGTAAGCGATGCGTGTGTATGGAACGTGCTACTGTTGTATGCAGACCGCCTTTTGTGTGATCACTGAAGTAAAGATTATTCTTTTGTAGAGTGCTATTGGTATTTTCATTCTAGTTCCTATGGGAGTTTATTTCCGATGTTCTTGTTTAGACTTTGCACACCAAAAACCAGTCAATATTAAAAAATTTGATGCTTTTTAAAAAACTCAATTAATAGTAAAACCTCAATACTTTAATTCTGTGCTTTTTTCCTGATATGTACTCATTGGTTAATATAATAAAACTCATAAAATTAATAATTAACAGACATATTCTAAAGAATAAGCGGGGGTTTGACAGACCCATGTTTATGTACGTTGATGACAAAATTAGTCGTGTGCTCCGATAATATACCCTGGAACTTACAGGTTCAACCCCAGCAGCGCCCTGCGGAGCAGTGTGCACAGATTCTAGAACAGAGTGTAGCTCAGGGGAAGGATGGGGGGGGCCAAAGGTGTCACTTTAGGGAGCTCCTGAGGTGAGGACCTATCTGCCCAGCTGCTCTGAATCCTGGAGCCCCGCCAGAGCTTCCCCCCAACTCCTGTACTGAGGACTGAACCCAGGGCCTTTGCCCGGAGCTACATGCCAGCTCTTTTTATTTTTATTAGTGCATGTTTTCAGTACATGAACACATTCATTGTGGGGAAGTGATACAGGTACATAACACATCTTCATTCTTTTTACATCTCCTTCCCCTCCCTTCAGCTCTTGGTCCCAGCTTGTTTGTTTCGGGACAGGCTTTAGCTATGTAGTTCAGGCTGGACTTGAACTCACTGTATAGCCCACACTGGCCTTGAACTTGCAGTGATCCTCCTGATTCAGCCACCTGAGTGCTGGGATTATAGGCATGCGCCACCACACCCAGCTCCAGAATTTTTTCATCATCCCATAATGGGTACACTCTGTACCCATTAAACAGTAACTCCCCATTCTCCCCTTTCCCTAGCACCTGGCAACTACTCTTCTGCTTTCCGCTCTGTGAATGATTACATTTGGTACCTCATGTAAATGCAATCACACAATATTTGACCTTCTGTTGTAGCACGAATCAGAATTTCCTTCCTTTTATACCAGAAAAATTTCCAATGTATCTATATACTGTACGTGATTTATCCATTCATCCACTGCCAGATATCTGGGTTGCTTCTAGTTTTTATCTATGTAAATAGTGCTGCTATGAACTTTGGTATACTTTCTTTTGCTCTCACTTCAGTTGGCATGAAGGTAGGTCCTTGGCTGAGTATTAAAAGGCATTTACTCACTGCAAAGGGGCCCTGGAATGCATGTGTGTGACGCTTGTCTTATGAGCCCCGATCCCATATCCTTGGACCCCTCCACGTTTCCTACAATGAATCATTCTCTACTTTAAGAGAGCCGGGCATGGTGGCACACGCCTGTAATTCCAGCACTCGGGAGGCTGAGGTAGGAGGATCCTTCCGAGTTCGAGGCCAGCTGGGCTACAACGTGAGCTCAAGGCCAGGCTTAACTGCATAGCGAGACCCTGTCTCAAAAAGACCGAGAGAGAAAGACAGGGAGAGGGAGAAGGAGAGGGAGAGAGAGAGAGAGACAGAGACAGAGAGAGAGAGACAGAGACAGAGACACAGAGAGACAGAGAGACACAGAGAGAGAGATCTGAACCTTGCTCTTCATTCACAACTCCTTCCTTTCTGCTTTCTCATGTCAGTAACAGTCCATCTACCTGAGCCAGAAACTTGGATTCATCTTTGACATCCTCATTCTCTTACATTCTCCAAGAGTTTGGCAAAGTGGGCAAGAGCCCTTGTGTCCCCTGGAAGATGTCGGAAGGCTCCTCACTTGTCTCAGTGCTTACACTTCCGCACCGTCTCCAAACCACTGCCTGTTATTTCTAAAACTAGATAGTGAAAAAAAAAAAAAAAAAAAAAAAAAAGAAAAAAAAAAAAAAAAAAAAAGATAGTGTACCTACACGATTTAAAATTTCTTGTACAGTAACGAGCTTATTTATACGGGCAGTAAGATTTATTGTTTATTTTTTTAACCAAATACCTCCTCAGTAATGTGTATCAAATAAGAAGCACTGGAAACCTGATTGTCCCTAGGATGATATGCATGTTTCAAGTGGTACTGAAAGCCGTACTGATGGGTATGTGATAATAAACATATGTTATTAATATGCTAATGACTGTTCATTTAATGAGAAATAAAAGTAATTTATGGATGGGTACTTTTAAGAGTGACTGCTATGGTGTTTTCTAATGGCTAAAATGAACAGAAAGCATACTGCAAATTAGTCCTGATTGTAATATGTTTGTTAAATTTCACAACTGAAGTGTAGTTTAAAAAAAAAAAAAAAAAGATAAAATTTCTATTCTACAGGTCCTCTCCGGAGGTAACTCTTTTCCATCCCATGACCCTTCCTGGGCCTGGTTTATCTGGGCCAGGTAAGTTCACCCACCCACCCGCTCCATTTCTCCGGGAGCCTGCCCGCTGCATGATCTCTCCCACAGCATCTGCTCCAGCCCTGCACGGCCCTCTAGCGTACTTGGAACTACAAGTTCAAGAGGGAGTTTCCCGGCGCCCACTCTGGGAGGTAGGTGCGGCAGGCAAGCATGAACCGTGTTTATCCAGCCCGCTTACTAAAGACCCCACTACTTCCAGAAACCTCTTCTCCTGGGGCGGATACCGCCCCTCCGCTCCGACAGCACTAAGCAGGCGCAAGGCGGACTGAGCATGCGCAGAAGGCTGCGCGGGCGCGGACTGCACCTCCCGGCAGGCAGCGGGGCATTCTTCGGCCTCTCGTGACCAGCGACTTCCGGCGTGGAGAGGCGGGGCTGTGCGTGGCTGAGCCCGCAGCCGGACCGTGAGGAGCACGGCTGAGGGCCCGCTGGGCGCTGGCCGCCATGGAGGCCGTGCCCCGCATGCCCATGATCTGGCTGGACCTGAAGGAGGCCGGCGACTTTAATTTCCAGCCCGCCGTGAAGAAGGTGAGCCTCCTCCCGCCTTCCCCGTCCGCCGTGCGCCTCCGTCGTCGGCCGGCGCCGGATGTCCCCCGCACGCGCACCCCTCCCCGGCCCCGTCGCGGGGTGGGCGGCCAGGTTTTCCCGGGCCTGGCCTCCGGGCCCCGCTCGGCGCGCGCAGACCGCCCTTCCTCCCTGCGCGCCTCCTCGTCGGAACCCCCTTCGCGACTTCTGGCCGCGGCCCGCCGCAGGTCCCACCCGGACTCCCTACTTCCCCCGCGTGACGCTCGGGACCCGACTCCATCCGCCCCTCCTCCGCGCGAGGCCCGCCCCTCCGTGCTGTCAGTCCGCGACGGCGGGGCGGGCGGAGGATGGCTCGGGACTTGCGCTGAAGACGCTGGTCCTCTGGTGGGGTGTCTCTGGCGCGGCCGTTCTGTGTGGCCCCCTCACGGGGAGCATCTCGTCCGGAAGCTCCTTTGGACCAGAAAGCAGTTCGTGTCGGTTTTAGGAGGGCTGCTGCTTTGTGCGGGAAGGGGTGTTGCAGCGCTAGGCGCGACCTGGCTGGTCATTGTGTTGGCCGCAGCCGACAGGCGGGTCTGGCGTTGGCGGACGCGCGGGGCTTCCGAGAAGGGCGAGGTCGGCTGTGCCGATGTGCATCGGGCGCCCCCGACCTCCAAGCAGCTTTGAGGGCGAGAGCAGAAGGGAGAAGGAACACCAGAGGCTGCTGAAGGTGGGAGGCACGGGGTCTTACGCTGCCGGCGTAAGCAGTACACGGTGGTACCCAAGTCAGCAGGTGCTCGAAGTGGGTTTGGAGGTAGTTTCCTAGGAAGCTGTCTCCAGTCTTCTCTTCACACCCACCGCCTTTGCTCAGGGCCCCATTTGTTGCTTTTTGTTTGTTTGCGGTGCTGGAGATTGAACCCAGACGCTTAAACATGCTAAGCATGCGCCCTCACTCAGCTACCCCCCCCCAGCCCCAGCCCCGGCCTCTTTTTCCTGTTCTGTAAACCCAGCAAATTAGACCAATGAAAAACTCCACAATTTTAACTGTTCCGCATCTTTTGTACAGATACCACTAGATGAGTTTTTCTAAAACAGCAGAATTCTTGTTCTCTAGTTTTACAGAATAAAGCCAGTATTTTTGGTTTCCCCTTCAGAGTTCTGAACTATTCCAGTCCTTTCAGCATTTAGTAAGGTCCCACTGTGTGCTTGATCTGCATGCTTCTGATACAGGTGTCTCATAGCTACGTGCTGTTTACTTAACATGCTCTGGGTTTCGTCCTCTGTAACTTTAGTGGTAAGAAGACCTCAAATTTTTGCCCTGGAGGGTGGTGATGGCCCCTTGTTACGTCTCTGTATATTGGGACATCTCTTTCAAGGTCCAGTTTAAGTCCACTCTTCCATAAAGCCTTCCTTAATCCTTTTAGCTGGGTTATTCTCTGAATTCCTCTCTTTCCATCTTTTCTTTTTTTTTTTTTTTTTTTTTTTTTTTTTTTTTTTTTTTTTTTTTTTTTTTTTTTTTTTTTTTTGAGACAGGGTCTCAAAGTAGTACAGGCTCACCTTGAAGTCATAGTGATCCTCTTGCCTCAGCCTTCCAGGTGCTGTTATTATAGGCATGTACCACCATGCCCAGCCTTTCATCTTTTCTTTGATGATAGTTATGTGTAGTATTTTTTTCTTGAGATGGAGTTTTACTATGTAACTCAACCTGGCCTTGAACTTATAGCAGTCCTCCTGCTTCAGCCTCCCAAATGCTGGGATTAGAGGCATGCACCACCATGCCTGGCTTGCTGTGTTCTAACCTTCCTGTTCACCATCCGGATAGCCAGCAGAGCACCCTCATAGTTGGCCACCAGAAACTGTTTCTCCCATGACTTAATGACAGTGGAGAGGGGAGTTAGATTAGAACTAGATTACTATGAGCCCAAATGTATGAAGTAAAAAGCTGAGCCCAGAAACTCCTAGGAGGTATTTTTGTTTGAACTTAGTGGCCACTCATGTACAGCAAACCGGGTACAGTGTTGGATGCGCTGTGACTTCCCTGGGAGCACCTGGGCCTCTGAGACAAGTTGCTTGAGAAGCAGTTGCCCTAGACACTGGAAGAGAGCCTGTAGAAGGCTCTGCAGCCTGGCAGTGCTTCCTTTCCTAACGCGCAGCCCCTCTTTGGCTTCTGCCACTTATCCCCATCTCTCGCTGTCCTTGCTCTGAGCTGTGAAAACCAGTGACTTGGACTTAGGGGTAGAATTTAACTTAGGATAGTAGAGTAAAACTAAATTGGTTCTGATAATGTTGGCCTGCCAAGCACAGTATACTGAGCTCTGATTATGCAGATGACGATTCCTCTGCCCTGAATTCTAAGTGTAGTGGAGGAAATTTTAAAATTGCATAGATGAGCCAGGCATGGTGGTGCAGGTCTGTAATCCCAGCACTGGGGAGGCTGAGGCAGGAGAATTGTTGTGAGTTCAAGGTCAGCCTGGGTTACACAGTGAATTCAAGATCAGCCTGAACCACATAGTGAGATCCTGTCTCAAAAAAAAAAAAAAAAGATTGCATAGATGACTTTAGTATGAGAGTTGAAGTATTTGTAGTGTGCAGAAGTACCAACCTAAGGAGGACTCATCAGGAAGGCTTGCTAGAGGTGAGTCTTAAAGGATGAATGGGAGTTCTCTAGACAGTTTCTTTGTGAGGGGTAGTCTTATGACAAAACCTTTAACATTGGTTGGTACTATTAAATAAAATTCGTGAACGGCCGTAGATTTGCACTGGGCTTAAAAGACCAAACCAGTAGTTTAGTCACTGTAACTGAGCTTTGGTTGGTTGCAGGAGGCCTTGTAGCCAATTAATTAATTAAACAACTAGTTAAGCAGTAGGCAGTTGACTGGTTGATTGACTAGTTAGCCACTGAAGTTGTTTCCTGTGCCTGGCACTGTTTCTGTATATGTTAGGTTGAGTTTGAGTTCTCTGAACCTGCTGTGGTCGGACCACCTCATTCACAGATCATTGTTGTGCTTTCGCTTTTGCTCAGATAAATGCCATTAAATTTAAACTTGTCAAGGATTTTTGTTTTAACAGCATTGTTTTTTTCTTTTACTCCTGGTGGATGTGCCTTCCATTAAACCAGTGGTGGTGAATCTGTGGCACGAGTTCTCTGCTGGGTATTTGTTATTGAAAGCTTTAAAAGGTTCACCATCACTGCATTAAAGAGTGATGTGAAGGAAGAGCCAGAAGTTTTGAACCGCAGCGCTGAACTTTAGGTTGGCATACCTGGGCCCACATAATGTTTTAGAGGAAAAGTGTTGCTGGCTTTGCACCTTTCATGTGTGCAGGGGGGTGTGGTATGGCATCCGAGCCCTTGAGCTGGGCAAGTGCTGTACCACTGATTCACAGGCCCAGTCTCCGTGCACCTTCTTAGCTGTGCTTTGGAGGACAGAGTACTGACTCACTGGTAATGTAAAGCATGACTCTTGCACTCTTTATGTGAATGATTAGGCCACAGGTGTTTGTATTCCTAAGTTCGTTCTTCTTTCTGACCTAAACACCTGTTCTTCACCAGTTGAACATGAACCCATGTCAGGCTCACTTGGACTTGAGTGATATATCCACCTCTGACTCATTCATTGAACACGTAGTTATAGCTGGGCATGGTGGCACACACCTGTAATCCCAGCTACTTAGGAGGCTCAGGCCAGAGGTTCAGGGCCAGCCCAAGCAACCTGTCTCAAAATTTTAAAAAGGACTGGGGATATGGCTCAATGGCAGTGTACGAGGCCTTGGGTTCAATTCCCATCCCTCCCCCAATCATTGAGTGCCTTTTCCACTGAAAATTACTCTGTTGCCACCCTGAGAATACAGTAGGAACAAATCTGCCTTTGTGGAACTTACTCAGTGGTGGTGGTGGTGACCCAGCCAGGGCAGGTGTGCCCTTTGGTGGGTAGCCACTTGGCCTGTCAGTTGGCTTTCCGTTTCTCCCTTCCTTCCACTCTGGTTGAATTGATTTCTAAGTCTCCATTTTTTGAATGTTTGTAATTATAGCTACTTGGAAGGCTGAGGCAAGAGGATCTCAACTTTGAAGCCAAGCTGGGTAACTTGGTTAGATTTATTAGAAAATAAAATACGTGTGTGTGGGTATATATATATGTATACATATATTCAGTAGCCCCTCTCCAGTCCACAGTACCGCTAGCTAGCTGAGTAAATCTCATTTTCTCTCCCTCTTCTCCTCTCTGCTCCTCTCTTGCCTCTCCACTTCTTTTTCTTTCTTTCTTTTTTTTTGGTACTGGGAATCAGACCCACAGGCAATCTGCCACTGAACTTTGTCCCTAGCCACTCTCCTTTTAGTTTTTATTTTGAGACAGGGTCTTAATAAGTTGTCCAGGCCAGCCTCAAACTTGTCATCTCCTGCCTCAGCCTCCCTCGGTGCTGGGATTACAAGCATGTGGCAGTGTCTGGGTCTTCTCCACTTCCTACCGGGGCCCTCCAGAGAAACTGCCTACTGTTCAGACTGTCATCTGCTCCCTACATGCTGTACCCTGTCCTCTTCTGTGGAAACATTCAGCCTCTCTTCATCCCACATCTGGTCATCGGCCTTGCTGGGTCCCTACTGAAGCTTCCCCCTCTGACTTTAGCCACAGCTCACTGTCACGCTCCAAAATGCACAGGCTCGCTGCCCCCCTTCTTCTTCTTCTTTTTTTTTTTTTTTTTTTTTTTGGTCTTTTTGAGACAGGGTCTCAATATGCAGTGCAGGCTGGCTTGAACTTACCTATGTAGCCCAGGTTGGCCTAGAACTCAACAACAATCCTCCTGCCTCAGCCTCCCAAATGCTGGGATTACAGACGTGCACCACCACACCTGGCTCGCTGCCCCTTCTTACTGTTCATCTTATTCATGTCTAGATAGAGCCTGGTTTTTCAGGTTTGTGGCACTTTTTTTCCTTTCCAGACTTCCCTTGGGAACTGTGGAACCTTGAAAATTGGCTTGCTTGTGCATTTACACACAGAGAGAAAGGCAGATGAGTGGATGAGGCATGAAGA